GTGACATACAAAACACGACACTAATTCGGGTATGGGATATATACCTCCCATGTGTCAAAAAATTTGGATCATGACACACATTTGGGTATGGAGTATATATCTCCCACATGTCACAAAATTTGGATCACAACATCCTGATCTGTGTTATATTTCACAATCCATGACACATACCTGAGTATATTATAGTATAATTTAAGTAGTTAGTAGTTTCCTGGAAACTACTAACTACTTGCTTGACTTTGTTAAGTAGTCTTGTTCTAAGTCAAATTGTAAAAAGATAATTTTTGTTTAGAAATATGTATTACTGACAGAACTATTTTTATTTAAAATTACTTTTTCTTATACAAAGTTACATTAGTTATCAAGTAGATTAGTAATACAAAAAATGTGATTTATTCTGGAATGTTTGAAATCGCTCTAACGATGCAAGTTCAGTAGTGAATTTGGCAATGTATTTGACGATCGTCAAAAACAACTTTAGCAATTTAGTCATTAATTGGTCACGTGCTTTGACCTGAATCATGGCTTAATTTCTTAATGCTGGCCAAAATCTAAATTTATACAAATTTTCGATGTAAAAACAAACCAGATACCAAACAATTGTAATTCGACTAAATTCATCCAAATCCTGAATTATATAGTTGCCAATTACAGTAAATAGCCCTTTCATCAATTTAACGGAAGGAGGTGCCATTTCGGGAATAATAAGAAAGTAAATCTCGGTTAGCAGTAGTTATTTTAACCTGAATATTTATTTTTAGCGATTACATTTGATTATTATCTTGAATGATTTTTTCTTTTAATTCATTTTAATGGGTTTTTTAACGGATTTTTTTGTTGGTTGTTGCACACCAGACAATGTGTAACTTGACGACGATACTGTATCACTTTGGTATGACGTCTTTATTTCCTATTAAAGAACATTTTTTAAGTATCAAAAAAACATGTCGACTTCCAATTTCTTATACATGTATATATATTAATAATACACCCATTTTTCCAATTATTATTCGGTATTTCTGGTCGACGAAAACCGAAATATATATAAAATCTTAGTGGAGAGAAAATGAAAAAATGCATAGACCATTGGACATCATTGGTCGGATCATTATTCTTTATCGGGATACTGTTGTTGACGGTTAATGCACGTAAGTTTTCTGGAATAATAGTAATCGTGATTTTTCGAAAAATTGAGATATTGAGGGAATGAGATAGTGAAACAGTGAGGAAGGAATAAATTTTGTGAGAAAAAATTTCAATCAAACTCGCGAATACTCTTTTAATGTGGGTAAGTGGTGTGTTGTGTGGTCGTATATATGCATTATTACATGGGATGTTGGAACGATTATACTATGTGTGAGACAGAGTTATTGTTGATTTGAACATTATTGTAATTGATCGAATATCCCCTTCAATTATAATTATTCATAGAGCAATGTTGCTATCAAGTTGTATATGACATATTACCAGGAGGACAGACACAAGTAAATGTAAGTGGTACAAGTGAAACAGCAGCAGACAGCAACTCTTATCATGCACTTGTCCAATTCCCTGCGGACTACATGATCCAAGGAGAACCAACATCACCATTCGACAAAATCACATGCACAAAACAAGGACAGAACGGATATGAATGTGATACACAAAACTATGAACGATTTTTCGCCTCATTCATTCTAACAGTCCCCGGAAATGGAGCACCCACGGCTACGGGTCAAACGCAAGTAGTTGCTCCGAAGGTCGCCTTGACATTATTCGGTCAATCCTGTCAACAACAAAATTTCTGTTCTGATCAAGTAGCCGCGTCCAAAAATCGCGATAGCATTTCGTTGGGATTCTTGGGCAGGTGGCCGAAATATGTGGTGATTATTGTTGGAGTGATTGCTGGATTGTTGTTACTTGGTGGAATTTATTATTTGTGGAAACGACATAATCCAAACAATAAGCATCATGACAAATCAGAAGTTACTGACATTATTACTCGACATCGTCATCGTGACAGTGGTGTTAGTGGTCACCATAATATCAGGGAACCAGGATCTACTTTATTGGGTCCGGTGAAAAATGGTAATAAATTCACTTTTAGTGATCGACTATTAATATCGCAAATTCCAGGAGCAGTTCCTAAATCATCCACCAATATTAATGAAAAAAATTCTCGAGGGTTATTTGACGGAACAAGACCTAAATCATACAGAGGAACAAAAGATAAAAATGACAAGAATACACATGGTGGTGGAGGCGGTGGTAACGTAGCTGTAGAGATTTATGGTGAAAAACCACGAGGAAAAGCTCTTGGATCCGGACTATCGGGAAGTCAATTACCAATGTCATCATTCGCGGTAGACATAGATGGAAGTGTGTCTGAAGTGTCTGCTGATGCAGAAAATGATTTCATGCAAAGAACTCGTGTTGCAGATATTAAAACGTTACCTGCGGCAGTCCGTGTTGCTAATAATAGTGATTTAGCTCGTATAGCTTCGGTGAAATCATATGAACAACAAAAAGATAGAGATCGAGATAGACGACGGGAAGAAAGGGATCGTGAACGGGATAGAAGAGATGAAAGGGAACGAGATAGAGAAAGACGTGATGATCGTGAGAGAGGTTACGATCCGAAGGCACTTGCGAGATCATCAACAGTAAGATCCTCAAGAGGAGATAAAGAGTATCGAGATTCACGTTCATATAAGCGATCATCTTCACAAAATCTAGATGAACTAAGAGAAGGTCGAAGAGAAGAGCAAAGTAAATCACGGCAAATTCGATCACCATCTACAACTCGTGATCATAACACATCAAGTCGTGATCATAAAACAGAGAAAAGACGAGGCGATGAGAAAAAATCACAAGCTGAAAAGATAATGGCCGAAGCAAATACAACATCGTTAGCAGATTTAGTTCGGTCGAAATCAGAAAAAGAAAAATTATCTTCATCGAATAATAACTATAATAATATCAATAGTAATAGTACAAGACATAATAGAAACTCAACATTATCACCATCATCAAGTAAACGGAGAAAGAAATCTAAAAAGAAAATATCAAGTGATGAAGATTCTTCAGAATCAAAATTATCGGATGCTGATAGTGATAATTCGTCTGATTTACCAATAGGTGATCGATTACCACTAGCGATGATTGGATCTCCTGTTACCTCACAAAAATCACCACCACAATCACCAATAACTCCAATCTTTGACTCAAAAAAATCCAAAAATATGACCACAAAACCATCAAAACATGGTAGTGGCAACATATCATTTAATACTAAATCTACAATTCAGCAGCCAGTTTCATCGTCATCGAAACCGAGACTCTCTTCCCAATTCTTAGTATTACAAAATGACAGTGAAGACGGAGGTAGCAGTAACAATGGTGGATACTATGAATCAATCTTAAATGATGTCTTGAATGTTGGTGATTTCACCGGTTCGGAAATTAGTAATGGAAGTGAAGAGATTCCGATTGGACGACGATTACAGGTTTTACGTGATGAGAAGAAAAGAGGTTCTGGTGGTGGTTGGGGTAAAAGTAGTGCTAGTGAAGATGATGAAGTTCCTATTGGATTACGAATGGGAATTACAAAATGATATTAAATTGTTGTTATTCTAGCTGTTATTAATAAGTAGGATTTTTATTGTTTCTATATTTCATTTTTTGGATGGTTTGTGTACAAAAGAAATTGGCGTTTGTAGGTTTTATTACAAGTTTGTAGGTTTTATTACAATTCTGTGATTAATATATATGTATATATATATATTATACAGAGTTCGAAAGACTTCATAGAACAACGAAAATAATTTGTATTTCAAACAAGTGTCAACAAAAACAATTTCAAAAAATAAATTCTTTTTTTTCAAAATGGATTTAGAATCCTTCGGGCAACATTAACCTTATCCATTACCCTTACTCTAATCAAGTATAAGAACACATGATTCGTTGAAACATCAAATGCTGCGCCACGAGGCAATAATCACGTGATAATAATCACGTGAACCAATTAAAACGCAGTATGTAGATATTTTGTTCGGCGAATATCTAATTTTTCAATTATTAATATACTCTGCTCAGTTGGCCATGACCTAACGCTAAGTCATGGTCACACATCTGGAATGTGTGCCAGGTTCGTGCCGCAGCAATAAAATTACCCAAAAGTTGATATATAGTTAGGGTTAGAGTTAGGGTGAAGATCAAGGTTATACGTAAAATTGCCTCACCGACATTTTTTTCATTTTTTTGCGTCGGATTGTTTTGCCGGCTGATCAAAATTCGCACATCCTTATTGGACCCTGGCACACATTCCAGAGTGCGTCATGATCATAAGTCATAGAAAAAGCATGGCTTTTGATTATGTCACATGATTAGATCATCAATCATGAAAAATCCAGCCAATTAGAGATATAACATGCGTTGTATCAAAAAAATCAGCAAAAAATTTTCAAAAATTCACTATATTGAGTTTTTGAAAATTTATTAGTATTATTAGAGGCAGTTTTGGATATTATCCACTATATCGTGAGTTTAATTAGTCTTCACTATAAAGGAGGCACACTATAAAGAGAGTCACTGTGTTAAAAGACATTTATAAAGGGTTTTGAAAACCAAGGGCACATCGTTGGCTACTGTACCAGGTTGCGTACTTTCTATGGGAAAGGCTGCGTGATTGTCAACGAGCGTATTATTCAGTGTTGGATATGCGGATAATTTGTGTTCTCTGTTGGAAGCTTAATATCTTCACTTCCCTGAAGTCAAGATGCATAGAGGACTATAACAAATGTCGTGATAAACATGTTTTCATTAAGCTTAGTAAGAAGTTTTTTGGCCGTACTGTATTCACATCCCTGTTTTCACAGAACGAGAAGAAATCACCTCAGATTATTAATTTCTGGTCTCTTGAGTTAGCAAATTCAAATTATGAAACCGTTATAAGTGTTGAGCAAAAAAGGTTGGAATTGCTAAAGGTAGGTAAATTTAAATTTTATTAATTTTCAAAAGTAAAAAATTTTCACTTTTTGTTTAATTTAGACACGATGATGAACCGGATATCTCAAGCCCATCACTTTTAGGCAAACGTGCGTTTGGAGATGAACCTGTCGAAATTGATGAAATAAGTGTCGATTATACCAAGCATCCATTGTTAAAAAAATATTGCACTTTACTTTCTAAATTACAGCATCATCGAATAGAAGAATCACAGCGTGCTCGTCATATTATTAATATGTTAAAATGGCATATAGTTGACCAAGAAATGTTTAATGACGTAGGTTGGACCAAAATCCCACAGCGACTCTTTGTTTCAAAACCAAGTTTTTGTTTGAGGCTCGTTTCTAACGTATTGAAACAGCACTCAAACGATCAGCTTCATCTGGCGGAACGAGCACTTCAAAAATTGGTTATGAAGAATAAATAGAATCAAGGACAGTAGTCATAGCTGGATGTCGACACCTATCACATCAATTATGCAATTTTTTTTTCAGAAATTAGATGATAAATATTTCGATATAGATGCTCTGACGGTGGTAGGCGTTGTTTCTAGCATAATTTTGTACACACCAACACCTTGCCGGGGTCTTGGGAGTCCCCCCTCTGAAAATCACATTAAGGCAGAGTTGTGGACAAAAATATTTTCACGTTCAATAGAAAGAAATTTGTTCCTGTTTGGGAACTGCACCATTTAATTTCTGGAAATGGTGGTCGAGGTTCTGCCCGATCAGATTTTGCTGCTATAGTCACAAATCACAACGATTTGCAATTTCCTTTCTTCACAATCGAGTTTGAAAGAGGAGGCTTTGAGATTCATAAAGATAACATAGTAGTTGTGTCAGAGGCAGTGTACGAACTTAATCGTATATTAGCTTTAGCGCATAATTTATCGGAAGAAGAAGTTAACAGAACTCGTATCCATATAGGTTTGGTGAATGATACTCGAATAAGTTTCAATACAATTACACCCGTCTTTAATCAAGAAGAATCAACATTTGTTTATGTTAATAATGACAAAGTACTATCATATAATTTAAAAACTGACGATATAGAGAAAAACATCGAAAATGTTTTACAACTAGTTATTTACCTGAGAGAAACCATTTGTGAAGATGGGCTGTGGATCGAAACAATATTGAACAGGGAACCAACAACATATAATTATAAATTAAAAGCATTATTACCACAACTGCCAAATGAAGCTGTAAAATCAAGAACTTACGAGACTAAATTTACGCCACCCTCAAAAAGGCAGCGATACATCTTTTCAGAATATTAGCAAGAGGAATCGTGTAGAGCAGATTTGTTAGGTAGACTTATTTATTATTATATAATAGCAATTGATACATTGCCATACATTAATACTAATTATACTCGGCGTTTATTTTTTATAGCATGAGTTTGCAGCTGGTCCTGGGTATTGCGATTTTTGCCTTCCTCGAAGCTAGCTTGGTAAATTATTTACTGCGGAGCCGCTTATTCCCAACCAACACGGCTACAACAGAGATGGCTATCTGGCTGAAATCACGAATTCCATTGATCAAGTTCAACAGCTTCTTGACCTGCTGATTCTCACTGGTCAGTTTTATTTGCCCACCATTCTTAGATTAAACGAATTCACTTTTGAAACCAGGATCTTCGATCTTTTTAAACGCTGGTCTAAACCTCTGAAAGAACAAGCATTTTCTCCAAAACTCATAAGATACTTGAGCGAAAGTTATATGCATCACCTTACGATCGTTCTTCACAATGATCTCAAGGAGACAGATTGCGACTCCTTGATAATCGTCCATTATCAATCGGGAGACTCGTCAAAATTTTCTAACTTGGAGCAATACGGCATTGTGAAGCTTGAATATAAGTCTGTTGAGCAATTTCATCACCAACAGTTGCTGAAGCAAGTGTTTCTTCAGATATTCCAATAAATCAGCTGCCACGAAAAGAGAACAGTGAAAAGTTTGAAGTTTTTGAAGAAGCCCAAGACTCGACCACAGAAATCCAAGCGTGGTTTCGCCGAATTCACGATTCTCCTCAGGCCAAAAAATCTGCCATCAAAATTCAAGTCTGCTCTCCAACGACAAGAATCGCGTCAACATAAGTCCGATCCAATTCTAGAAATGATTTTCAACAAAATGGTAGTTTTTGCAAGAATGAATTTCACTGGAAGGTTGCTGTTGCGAAGAAGGGGAAAAAAGAGTGAACAAATACCAATATTCTGTTGAGAGGTCTGATCGTTAAAAATATTGTAGAACTGACTAAGATGCAAGGAAACATAGATGCTACAAAGATTAAATTGCAAAAGGCGATCAATAATCACGATTCGGATAACCAAAAAATTGAAGAATGTTTGGAATTACTGGACGACTTAAAGTTCGTTTTCTATTTGCATATTACGTTCAGATATATCCACAATGAAAATGTTAAGATGGCGTTAGATTCACTATCAATATCAGAGAATACGACAAGAAGCAGACATCGAGTGGTTGGAAAACGAATCACAAACGACAGGTGATTTCTTGAACGAGGTTTATCATTGGATGAATCAATGTAACGATACCATGAAAAAATGAATGCCAAGTATATTTAAAGAATATTCACTACACTAACCATTTAGCATTTTAGCAAAAATTAAAATAGTAAAAGCTCATTTGGCACTACATCCATTTTATTTAGCGATATAAAAATTTGATTAATATACGGATCCGTTGCATTTTGTGATTTTCGGAATAGCTACTTGTAAAGTCCTCACTATATTCTAATAAAGATGATCGCAAGTAGCTTCAAGTAAAAGTTGTGATTCAATAGTCAAGTTTAAAAAATTTATCCATTCATCCTTTGCATCGAAGCATCTTTTATCATAAAAAAATCTGACGAATTACTTTTAAAATCCCTCTATTCTTGAATAACAGCATAAAGCAATTCATTCTGATTCCGATTTAGAGTTAATATGTAAAATTTCTTAATAAATTATTTCACGTGACTCAAAATCGAATTAAACCTCTGTAAGAAGTTCCAACGAAACTTATCGTATTATAAAATGTCTTCCAAAGGAATTGAATTTTTACTTCGAAAACCTGACGAAATAGTGACTGAGAATCATGTAGTAGACTTCTTAAACACCCATTTTAAAGAGTTGGAAGACCTAGAGCAATTAGATTCTACATTAACACTAGTGGAAGCAAAACAGCAAAATTTAGCTCAAAAAGTGAGTGGTGCCGAAAGACAAATCCTGTTAATAAAGATATTGGTGTATACTTTTTTTGACATTGATTTACTTTTCTAAAGTTATCCACGATGAAAGCTGAAACTTCCAAAACGTTAAATAGTTCACTTGGACACTTGAAAGTTACCGAGGCGCAACTCGAAAATCTTCAAGCAACGCGTCTAGAGTTGGAGGATGCTCTAACGGAACATCAAATTTCCATCGGATCAAAAAAGAACGAGAATGCCTCGATCGAATCAGCAGTAGTCAGCAAGGAATTGGTTGACGACTTGATAATCTTGCAAAAAAATGTGGAAAACCTGTTACGAGCCAAGCAGTACTTGAATGTTCTTGTTATTGCGGATGAATTGAGGTGAACAGACATGCAAAAATTAGGTTTGATTATATGACGAATTTTAAAATTATATTTAAGATTATATAATTTATTTATATATTAATTTCGCTTCTTATTTAGTACTGAGGCAAAGCAATTAGTAGAGAAATCATCTCAGAAGGCGCTAGTTCCATACACACAACTTGCTCATATTGCGCGTAAAATTCGATCCAATAGTAATGATCAAATTTTGAAAAATCTTGATGGATTTATACGAAAAAATTTGGATGCACTTTGGGAGGATATGAAAAGTAGACTTTCAAAGTGAATAACAATTTCAAATAATTCTAGTTTACTCGTTATTAATCATCGTATTTCATTTGTAAATGATACATATAATATTTTCTATTTTTAGGAAATTTCAGCAAACATTAGATTCATTGGGATGGCCAACACCGTTAAAGATTCCATTACCAAATGAAATGCAGGAAAAGAAGTTGGCATTTACAAAAGCTTTTTGCGAATTATTGTTGCTACAGAATCCGACGGGGGTAGAAGATCGACTGGTAGAAGACACCGAAAAAATCATTACTAAAGAACATAATGAAGAGCTTGTTCCGTTATTCCCAATACAATTGATGGCTGAACCTTTAATAACAAGATTCAGGTATCATTTTGATACTAAAAGACCGACTAATCGAATTGATAAGGTTTAAATCCATGATAATTTAAATTGTTTAGTTCTTACAGAATCAGATTCTCATTATTTTATTTCATTCAATTTTAGCCGGAATGGTATTTTACACATCTCCTCACAGCTTTACACGAACATTCTCCATTCCTAACAGAAGAAATTCAAGTTATCATTGACGAAGCTGGGTTTGAGAAATATAATGCAAAAGTAACTTTTTATTTATTCAACAATTATTTTCGTTCTATAACAGATAAAAACTAGATTTTTTTTGTAATTACAAAAAACAGGATGACTTTATACGTTGTTTACTTACCGCAGTAACTCGAAAACTGAATCAAAGTGTAAATGCTTTGGTCAATTCTCCACAAAATTTTTCACATACGGTATTTGAAACTCTACAATTTGATCAAGTGATTAGAACCGTGCATCTATATCTACCCCCAGGAAAAAAGCAATGGAATGGATGTGTAGAGGTGTTCACTGGACGAAAAGAAATATTTAAGGCTTGGCTTAAAATTGAAAAAGAATGTAAGAATAAACAGTTCCTCCGATAAAACTATATATCTTTATTTAGCATCTATATTCTATGTTTAATAGTTGCCGAGGTCCGATATAATGAAATAATGCATTCAGAAGATGCATGGGAGATAGAGAGTGAAGACATTGTAGATGACGATCTTCAACCGACTAAATCTGCATCGAAAATTATGGACCTATTGGAACTTGTCACAAGCATGTTTTTATATATCAAATATGAACGTTTTAAATACTCTAAACATTTCAATTAATGACGTGTCTTTCGATGCAAAATAGGCCGATATAAACTATTACCAATGTTCCACAATCGTATAAGATTTATGGTTGATATTCAAGCTGAAATTTTGGATGCTTATGAGAAAAGAATCGAATCTGCCGTTAAAGCCTTCGAGAATCTCAGTTATACGATTGTCAGAGCAGTGCCAAATGCTGCAACTGCTGATGGAAAATCTGTGACCGGAATAGATGGATTAAAAAGGTTGTGCCGTTGGTTGAGTAGCGCTGGTTATGTTAGTCGTACAATTCGAGAATGGGGAGAAGATCCGGTATATTGTTTTATATATATATATTTTTTTTTGTATGTTATTTTCTATTATACATGGCTAATATCAGTTTGAATTAGTTTTTCCTTGAATTATGGCATGATGTAAATGTACGTGCTGCCATGAACACAAGTTCTACTCCTTTACCTTCACCGACAAATTCTGAAAAGTCTGTTTCTGAGGAATCTAGCGGAACAGGATTGCTTAAAAATGATCAACAAGAATTAGTTGATGATGGAACTATTTTTGATGATGCCGCGGATACATATGATGATTTATGTGATCGAATACAAATTCTTATGGTGAAAATTGTTTCCAAAGAATTCATTAATGGTCTAAAAGCTTATAGTAAAAAGTAAAATTTTAATTGTGATTATATTTATTATTATTATTATTTAGCAAAAACGCATGAAACTAAATTAAACGATTTTTTCTAGAAATAATTGGTCTAGGGCTGAAGTTAATAATTACGAGTCCAGTGAAACGCCTTTAAATCGTCAATCACACCTTCGAGCGGAGATTTCGCTTGAATCCTCGGCATCAAAAAACATATCCACTAACAACACGACCAATTCGGCAGCTTCAACCTCTGACGAAACACCCGCAAACACGACTATCATTGAAATCTCTTCGGAACTCTATACACCACTCTCACAGCTGACACATGTGCTCACTTTTTTATCTAATAGTCTACCGTCGAGAATTTTTAATCATGTTTACAAAGAAATATCAAAGGACATAGAAGATTACTTATGGGAGCGTGTTTTAATGAAAAGTCAATTTTCGGAGATGGGAGGTTGGCAATTTGAAGTTGATATGGAGAAAGGATTATTCATGGTTGGCAAACGGTGGATCAAGAAACCGGAAAATTATTTTAGAAAGTAGTTATCTAATCGCATGTCTTTGATGATCGTGAAATTCATGTTTATGATTAATGAAATTTTTGACTTTTATAGGATAAGAGATGCGTGCATATTGCTTACTCTTTCCTCATCATCATCAGATGCCCTTGTAGATCCAGATAAATCGAAAAAGCCTAAAACGATCTCTCAAGTGATTTCATTTCTATCGGACACTGAATTAAAATCCAACACGGGAGTCAGAATTCTCGAACAGCTGGGTGTTTTCCATTTGAACGTGAAAGAAGCAAAAGAAGTAATCGGGAGACGGATAGATTGTTGGAATTAGAAAGCTTGATAGTAATGTGATTTATGGTTTTTTTTTGGGTAACTAATTTTTCGAACGGAATAATCTAATTATCAAGATAGCCTCTTCAATAATAAATGTACTTTAATGATATGCAAGTGAATAAACAGAGGAGCACCTTGCTCAAATATTACCATAGTAAGTAAATGTTATACGAGAAATTAAGTCCAAAAAGAATTTATTATTTTTACAAACGTGAGTTACAATTACAAAGAAAATCCCAAACTTGATGTGTGTAAAATTTACTCTTCTTAAAGACGCGTGCATTATGGATCAAAAAGAGTTTTATCATTACTAAAGTCTATAGTTTGATGATGTTGCTGCTGCGGCTGCAGTTGTTGTTTATTAATTTCTTTTTCCGAGGGATCTGAGGGATCTGCGGGTGTTTCAACTATCAACGGAGCAACGGTGGTCGTGATAGTAGCAACATCACTATTGTTAAGTGATGGATGAGATTTCTCGACTTTTGATTGAAAATTATTATTAAAAAAGTAATATTTCAGTATTTTCAAAGATTAATTAGACTAATGAAATATCAATAATAACCTGGTAATAATGATTGATCATTTAATTGTTGTGGTTGTTGCTTTAAATCCCCTTGATATGGATATGTAAGTTGACTATTGCGATATTTGTTGGTTTTTGGTATTCTATGCAAATACCTTTTGATATATAATAAAAATGATTATTATTATTCAAATGAATTATAATTTAAATCAATTTTAATTACTATAAAAAATATGATTTACCCATAGCCAACGCCACAACCCAATACACCCTCTCCTCCCCATGCATTATTTGGTGTTATTATGACCTTTAAATTAATTGATAATAAGTTAGCTCGAGAAAAATAACATGCAATGATGAAAGGATATTACCTCTCGACAGGCATCAAAGTCCGAATTATATACATAAAGACGTATAGGATGCCCTATGTAGGATTCAACAATCTCATAAAAATCATCTTCGCTATGTAATGTTGCATGCGGCGTACCAATGATATAATCAGTAAAAGACATCTGTGAACATTATTTCATGGAGTGAAAAAAGAATTAGTCTGTGCTTTTTGTCTCCTACCTAACCCACAATTAAGAAGTTTATATACAAACCAAACCCGCCAGTTCTGCTGGACTTTTAGGTGCTACTTGTAATATATGCCATACGTGTTCATTGGTAGCCTACATATTATATCCGAAATAATAACATGAGTAATCGTTAACTCGCACTCGAAAACAAGAAACAGCTCGTAAATTGAATTAAACCTCATATGTACAAAACCGGATACTGAGACCTAATTAATTATTAATTAAATTATTTATTCATTCGTAATAATAAATTATATTTAAATATACCGATTAAACCATCTCCAGGATTCGATGTCCAATTTCGATTCGGTGACATTGAAACTTCTATTTTAATGTATAATATTATAATAATTTAGAATTTAAAATTAAATAGAATGTAATCATATATATAATAAATAATAACCGCGTAATTCTTGTTCTTTAGTCGAATAAATTGCAAGAACGGCTTCTTTATCCACATTTGCTAGTAATTGATCTTGTAGTACTCGACTTTCGGGTGTATCCTTTCCGAATTCAAATAAAATTAATTTATATACTGAACAAAAAAATATAAAAACGAGCATAGATATATTGAATACCAAGGGTATTCCATTTATTCCAACAATATAATCAAAAAAAGGCTCTATGCCTGCCAAATGCGCCGGTGAGTTCTCTTGAACCTGTAAGTGAAATGAGTAAGGTGAGTCACCAGTATAAAGGTGTGTTCAGTTTCGGATAAGCTTACTCTTAATACGTGATAACCATGTCCTTTATCTGCACTTTGTGCTCCTCCCATGTTGACTTCGGTATGTTTAGCAAACTTCCAAATATCCTATATAAAGAAATTCTTTATTTTAGAGATTTGTTGTCAAAAAAACACCGCCAAATTCCATTATTCAAAAAATCACTTTTGAGGTCCAATAGGAATCACGAATTTCGACACACGTGAAATCAGTTTCGCGCGTTTTATGATCGTCCAAAGTTACGCGTATTTATGACCGTGTATTCAATGCTCACATTGCTCTGCGATGAAAATGTCATGTGTGCATCTCCTATCATATCATTTGAACCAAAGAACTTGTTATTGACACGAGAGCAGTGGATAATATTATAAAAAACTGTTTGTTCTCTTGAGATAAATTATATCATTCTGAGATTAGACTATTATATCCAAGGTATGGGATATCCTGTCATCGCGTAGGGTAGGGAAGAACATAGTTATTATTATTAGTTGATAACTATTATATAGAATTGATAAAATTAATAGGGAGCAAACCCTACGGTAAGTTATAGTGTCCAAGCTGAAGTAAATCATTCCCTCGAGGTTAACCGTGAAATTAGTAAATGGCGCATTGTATTTGTTAATAAACCCGATTCTACGATGGTTCGGGAATTTCGATTCCAACAATTTGAAACTGACAAAACCAAATATTCAAATACGCGTTTGCTAAGACAGACACGTACCATATAAGATAAGCGATCAATGAACAAATGACATTTCATTTTCTAGTGGAAAAACGCAACCTCGTTGGCTTGTAATGCTTGTGGTTATATCCACGTGGCTTTAATTCTGATAACGACATAAAAGTCGGGCTGTTTTAATAAGATGATCCTATTTTGGAACAATCTTTCTTTTTGGACGTGATTAAGTGAAGTGATAAGAAAATAAATACAATTCTAGAATGTTGTGGTAAACTTCCTTTGGCTTCCCATATCTCAGTTTGAATATTACATGACTATTAATATACAATGAAAGATAATGTAAAGGACGTTGAATTATACACGTATATAAGTAAATATGTGTTAAGTCTATAAATGCGTGTATTTGTGAATGTAAATCTATATTGTAAAGATATTTTTATAAAGAAAAAGAATTTTACATGTAACATAATAAATTATTAATTAATATCAGAAAGAGAATAATTCTTAATTAACACCATCTTTGCTTGATTCTGGAATCGCTAAAAATCAGATTAGAAAAGTAGACATTGTCACGATAATTGCAATACGTAAAAGGTCACCGCTTACTTCCTAGCTCTAGTTTGTATGTTGAGAATAAGCGAGAATTTCTTGTTTCCGATATGGTATTTCTATCAACAACACCGTTTACTATTGTTAAGATTAATCATTGATAAGAAGAATATATAATGAAAATTTGAAAAATCCATGTAGATAGTTTACTTTGAGTATTGGTGTGAGTTTTAATTGGAATTCCAGACTTGACCAGGTCAACATATGCAAATGAGCAATAGTAACAGTGTTTGCATTTACAAGTCGCCTCGTAAAAGTCAAAGCAACAGAAGCAGCAGTAACGACATAGGAGACAATAGTTGAGTTTGCAGTAGTAGCAACGTCCGTAGTAACGGCAATAATTACAGTAACAACAATGTTTGCGTGATGAAGTGAAACAACATTCGCGAAGTGGTGAATCTTCAGTTTTGGTCGTCGTTGCCTTTTTCTGGCGTTGCGAATGAGGCATATTGTGTTGTTTGTAGAATGTATATAGTAATAATATAACTTGGTAAATAACACACGGGTTGAGAGATACGCAAGATTAAATGTGACGCAAACGCGACTTTTATTACTTATATTCGGATGTGGATCATATATGAACGCGTCTTATTTCTCTAATTTACGCATCACAATAATAAATTAAATATGGGTAGACCGGGTAGACCAAAAAAAATAATAATTCCCTTGAGTGGACCTGAAGAGGAAGAAGAAATGCCTTCAACACCTAAAAGTAAAAGAAAATCACCTACGAAAGCAAAAACACCCTCTCCGAAAAAGTATTTATTTTTTTCAATTGACATTGTTGGTTACCCATCATGTATAATAAAAGAATGAATATGAATCAAAATCAATTATATTAGAAGGCGAAGTCTTCCCAATACAGCACTGCCACAACGTACTCAGCAGCCAGTAGAATCTGAGACACCCTTCGAGCGTGCCAGAAAGATATTGCACGTTTCTGCCGTTCCTGAATATTTACCTTGCCGAGAAAACGAAACTTCACAGATTCTAAGCTATGTCCAAGAAGCCATTAAAGAAAAAAACGGCACATGCATTTACATCTCAGGCACCCCGGGAACTGGTAAAACTGCGTCTGTACGAGAAATCATCAGGGTTTTACAGGGGAAAGTCGACACAAAGGTAAATTACAATAGTACTATGAATCATTTATTAATTGAAGCAATTGGTTCTTTCCCTCTTTAATAATTAACATGAATATAGGATCTCAATAGGTTTAAATTTACTGAGATCAATGCGTTGAAATTATCTGATCCTCTAAAAACATATTGCGCTCTATGGGAATCATTGTCGGAAGAAAAAGTGACCGCAGACCACGCCAATTCGTTGCTAGAAGAATATTTTAAAAGCTCTGCTTCGAAAAATGAACCATGGTAAAATAATCATGAAAACTGTTCCTTATATAAGCTTCATTATTGAGATAACTTGTTTACTTCTATTGTCATTCAGGGTAGTGTTTATAGATGAACTTGATATGCTCGTGGCTAATCAGTCATTAATGTATAATTTGTTCAATTGGCCAAATGTTCCAAATTCTCGGTTAATTCTAATAGCTGTGGCAAATACCATGGATTTGCCAGAAAGAATGACACATAAAAAGATTTCTAGTCGAATCGGTAATATTTACTTTTTAACATGCATGAATATATACATACATATGTTAATTATTTTATTTTATTAGGTCTTACGCGAATTAATTTTACCACATATAATCATCAACAACTAATAAAGATTTTAGAGTCGAGACTTGAAGGTATCGAAACATTCGAAAAAGATGCGATCGAATTTGCCGCTAGAAAAGTGAGCGCCTTCTCTGGAGATGCGAGGCGAGCTTTAGATATATGCCGGTAATCCTTGGTTGAGATTCAAACACATATTTAAAATGGTAATTTCAATAATAATATTAATAATTCTTAGACGCGCTGTCGAAATTTTAGAATCAAATCTCTGTAAAACGAGTGATAGCGGCGTCTCAACCTCAACAACCCCTAAAAAACAAGTAACGATTGCTATTGTTGATAAGGCGATCAAAGAAATGCTAAATTCGCCAAGTGTCACTTTTGTTCGACGTGCATCGTTGCATCAAAAACTATTTCTTTGGTCAATAATAGAAACCCAACGGCAGAAAGGTGCAGATGAAACAGAATTTCGAGAGGTAAATTACTTTTTGAGTGTTTTAATTCCCGATTATTAAAAAATAATTGTTTAATAATTTGGATTTACAGGTTGTTCTACACCATGAAACCTTATGTATGATTCATGACATTGAAAAGCCCCCTTATTCTGATCTCTTCGCTATTTGTTCTTTTCTTTGTAACTGTGCTGCTATCTTTGCACAAGATGGACGGCGTGATATATATCGTCGTATACGTTTGAACTGTGTCTCTGAAGATGATATTATCTTGGCGTTGAAACAAGATAGCATTTTTAAAAATATAGTTAAATGACATTTCCATCCATCAATTAATTACTAAAAATATGTACATACATTAACAAATCTATCTAAAGTGCGTGCGTTTAACGAAATAAGTTTCAATGTTATTCACACTTAATCACGCATGTAAAGTAGTTATTGAAAATTAAATTAATCAAGGATTACTTGTGAGTGATGTGAAAAAACTTGTCTCGAGTCCGGTCACTATATCTTTCATTTTCCCCAATGTTTGTTTTTCTTCAGGGCCCCAACCAGATTCCATGTTTTTTGAAACCGTGTTTAATAAATTCCGGGTATCTTCGTCGAATTGAACACCATTAAGTCTCATCTCGTTGATTAATTTTTCCATCCCGTAAATATCCCTCCAAAAGTCCCACCTTGTGCGTAAAACTTCATTGTACACTTTTGTCGAGACTCCTTTTATATATGATTCGACACCTTGGCGTTTGGCTTGTTCGAATATTGATAATACCATATATGGGTCATAAAATACCGTTCTACTTAGTGCAATTGTCTCTTCCAGTAGAATTGAGTAATGAGGATCGAACTTAGATTTGCCTAATAATGATAAAATATTATTGTCATTATTATTACTACTATCATCATTTTTACTTTTATTATTATTGTCAATGGATTCTATCATGTTGCTTGATTGCTCAGTACTTGTATCTTTAAAAATACGATCCAAGATGAATTGGCGTAATCGCTGATTATTAGTACATTGTGAGGTAATTTCATCTCTAATGTCAGTAATAGCAACTTGCTCTTCCGGTGATGTTTCATGTTTCTTAATTCCCAATGAAGGAGAACTTAGACTAGACATTGAAGGTACTGATTCAAAGTGATCACTTAGCCATCCCGAGTCTTTTCTTTCACTCTTGAACGAATTGAACGAAATTTCTTCGTTTTTATCATCCCATTTATCAACATCCCATTTAGTTTGCCTCACATCATTATCATTATTATAACTATTAATATTGTAATTATTACTGCTGCTGCCGTATTTAGGATTGGATCTTCTTTCTGCAGTTCCTTGTTCTTTTCGTTTTATCAAGTCAATTAAATGACGTTCTATAGTCGACATTCCATCATCCGGCTTTGTTGGAGCCATATCTTTTTTGGGCTCGTCAAATTCGATATCGGGTTTTACAACATTTTTTGATGGTTCCGTCGGAGCTTTTGGCTTTTCGAATAATGTCGCAAAAATTTTCCTGAAAGTTTCTTTTTCTTCTGGAGAAAGTTGACGTTTGGCAGGTTTGCTGCTTGCCGGAGGAGCAGCTTGCGGCGTGGTACGTTGTATCCGATGCGGTTCTTCTTCTATATCTTTTTTGGTAAGTACGTCTTCGAAAAGAAAACGCCAGCTGTCCGAACTCGAAGCTGTCTTAGTATTTGTGTCTTGTTCCAAGGAATTATTATTACTGTAATTCCTAAATTGTAGATGTTTTTTGGGGCATAAAACATATGCTAGAGAACGAAGATTTCGGAATTAAATATCACCGAATAAAATGCATTTGAAACTAAATAAAAAAAAAATTACTTTTTAATTGATGACTTGGCAGCGATAGTTGACGAACTCCACGTAAAAAAGTCATTGTCGTGACAAGTTTTTTCTCGAAAAAATCGAGTCATAATTAAAAGTTCAGTCGACCAATCATCACTGATTATGTAATTATTCAAGCGCGTGCGAATCAAACATTATTGATTCATAACTTTAAACACAACTTTGTTTTAAAAATCTGACTGGTAGCTTATCTCAAAGAACAAGATTACCAGCTTAGTTTTCTAAATTACATCTCTATAAAAGGCAGATTGTTGAGTACAGACTTCCCGCACCATACATAACATTGTTATTAAATTTTGAATCATGTTTAACACATACCCCTCACAAAATCTGGAGGACGAGGTTGCCGAAGAGAAATACTTTGAACCCGTAATAATAAATGCTGCATTGGTGCGTACGATAAGAAGTCTCATTTAGTTGATCGATCAAATAGATTTTGCTTATTAACTATCGATATATATATGTGTGTGTGTGTGTATGTATATTAATTTTTCAACAGAATAGTAAGAAAAAGTCAAAGACAGGTTTTACGCCCGATCGGTAAGTAAGTAATCGTCATGTTATTTGTTCTTTTGTTGTTATTATTACTTCTCTTATATTGTTTGGATTGAAAGATGGCGACCCAGACCTATTCGAGAAATGGATCTAACAATAATGGTACCACCTAACCAGACATTGGATGATCTCTTGGAAGAAGTAAGACGTGATGCAGCAGAGAAATCGACACCCACAGATGATGGTGCTGGTATTTCCGCTGATATGTTTTTCAGTGCTTCGGGATCTAAAGGTGCAGCAGCATCCACTTCAGCATCTGTAGACTTTCGATCACCAAGTACAAGTTTTTTTGAAGAAAGTGTAGGCAATGAAGAAGTGTGCGTATATTTATTGAATCAGATCATTTTAATTATGGTCATATTAATCTTAAAAAGAATTCAAATCAATAATAGGATAGCTGGTCCTTCTGGCACGTTTCATATTCAGGAGCAACAACCACCACCTCAAGTGCAAGTAACTGATCGGAGTTTTGGATTCAGTGGTATGACAAATAATCAAATAGTTTCAATTAAAAAGAAATCTACAACAAAGAAACCACAGCCACCTGTGGATACTAATCAAATACCCATACCCGAAGAAGAGATTGAAGATTATGGCATTGTTGGGAGATTAGGAATGTTTATTAGGCATTTGTGGGGTTGGTAATTCAGAGTACGCCAAATAACACATGGTTAATCTTGAATGACTTTTCAGATTCATTGATTCTTTAAACAAACACTAAATTATTAAAATAGAAATTAAAATTTTTGTATTTTATTCACGTAGAAATATGTATTCAACTTTAATTTCAAAGTTTTATTCGTGTCTAAACATTTACTTATTTGGTCAAGTGAAAAGAGAAAAATTGATTTCAAAGTTCAACTCGTTCTGAATATTTTTCGATATTAGAATGAATATTGTTTTCGATTGAGTCGCTATAACCAGATGCGACTCGTAAGACATCCTCCTAATAAAACGAAAAAAAAATGTTAATGTACCAGGCAGCGCAGCGATACGATATGATTTTGATTGATAGCTTACAGTAACTGCATAATTTCCTAGAATATCAACATGATCCGCTGTTTTTGAGCCACCACGTAGATCCAACGATGGAGTAGTTGAATGCACAAATTCCCGAGTAATCACTTTTATCCCAGCTGGATTGTATAACTTATTTTGCCATCCTTTGACACACATATAACCCAAAGACATAAGTGGAACTGTGCCATCGCTATACAATTAAAAATAAGATTAGATAGATCGCTAATCCCAAGTCAATATATAGCTCAAAACATACCCTTCTCCACTATGTACGCCACTTTTTAGACCTTGATCGTCGGCATTTCTCGAACTATCAATAAATACATTCCAATCCCGTTTAACCCTCTTCGAACCATGGCGATCATCCTTGTCGCATCCTTCACAATCATCATCCGTTCCCACACCATCATGTGAATAATAGTAACGACGTTCTGTATCTTTCCCTATTCCATATAAACAATATATTTTCAAATCTGGTGCATATGGAAGTTGGGATTCCAGCGGATTTGACCATTTGGTATGATCAACATTATCACGAAAATCTCCTTTATTCTCAGTAAGACCAAAACTATAATTCGTGGACAACATTCTTTTGAATAATCTGTCTGCATGTTGTTGAAGAAAAGTCACAACGGCTGTGCTGGTATGATGATGTACGAGTTGAGGGCCATCAGGTGATGATGATTTGTCAGGCGAAGATTTAGTGAGGTTTTTAATAAATCGCGGGAATGATCTAAACGTCAGCATTGGACCAAATGATTCTTTTTTATCTGGATCTCCATATTTCTTATCATCAGGAGCATGTGTAGCGTTTCCCCAAATGGCTTCGCCTCCTTTTGGAAGCATAGATGCAAGGCCTCCCCATGTTCGGAAAAGTTCGGCGCGTTCTCGTTTCGAGAAGAAACGTTCAAGAACATAAATTCCAAAAGCCCCCAATTCTACTGTATCTCTCATCTCACCTATATAAACATCAAATTAATCCATTCAATTATTCGCGTGTGTGTTTGGTAAAAGTAGCATTTTAAAGTTACAATCTTTCAAATAACGTGCAAAATTACCAGAAAGAAGCGCAGACAGAGCTTTCGGAAGGCCTAACAAAGGTCCACCAATATTTACAAAAGATTCAATATGATCATTTACCCAGTTCGGACCACCATTTCCACCCAGTGGGGATTCAGCCCATTTCAGAAAATACAATACAACCGTGGAGCCTAATCAGTTGAATATAGTTCAGTCTCTCGTTAAAAACAAGTACAGTCGAACCTCCATATATAGTCACCTCCCATATAATCACAAAATCAATAGTCACATTTTCCAGTTCCCAACTTCTTATGAAGCTTAAGAAATTGACCTCCATATAGTCACAACCTCTTTATAAGCACAGTTTTTCATATCCCGAGGGTGTGATTATAGGGAGGTCAGACTGTAGATTTAATGAAAAACGTAATAGAGTAAGTACCTAACGAATGTCCAATCAATACGCTTTTTTTACCATCCAGTTTTTTGAACATTTCTATGTTGCTTTTAAGTTTACTATAATATTTATCCCTCACTTCTAGGTTATATATAGATAATCTCCAGTCATACGCAGCTAAATGCATGTTGTTGGAATCATATCCAATGGCCGCGAAATTTTGAATCATTTTACCTATATATTTCGTCAAGAACAATTAATTCGTAATAGTGGCATTAAGAATAATTAAGATAAATGAATCGCTTACCCCATACCCAATAACTATAAAAGTTCAAATCGATGATGCAATAAAATAAATTCAACATTGAATAATAACTCTTTTGAAAAGTGATGACAACATAAAAAAATTGCTTACCCAGGAAACAGATAATCAGCAGCATCAAGACCTAACATAGCAAGTGAAGAATTTTTTGAATAAGCCAACAAATGAAATTTCGCTTTACCAAACTTACCTTGAGCTGCACGTAATTTAACTCCTGGAGGATCTAATCCTGTAGATGGATCTAATTTCATATGTTCCTTCCAGCATTCTTTATCCAGCAGAACGGCACGAAACATGGCTTAATAGATTTTACATGTATTAATATAACAATATCGCGGTCAAATACTCATGTGCCGATAATTATACTTACTTGTGGTACCCCACATTCGTCTTCGAAAATATTTTTGAGAACAATTGGAGGTGCTCCAGCTTTCTAATCCCTAGAAATTAATTGATCTCAATAGGTTAATCATAAGGTTTTATCGAAAATATTATTTTAATCAAGATTTAAAAATAATTACCGTTGAAACGATTCCTGGGATTAAAATCACCGGAAATTTCGCTTTTAACCCTTTTTCGGCTAATTTTAATCCTGGCATGAATTCTGTATCTTCCAGTATATTCGGCTTTAAGTACATGGTAACATTCCCTAACAATTCCTCGACCAAAATATTCGCCGGCAAAATACTGGTGAAATCGAGGTCATGTAGCGAACCAGCAATGAAGTTTGATATATTTTGAAATTGGTTAACAGTGGTTGGTTCAGTAAAGGCCCAGGCTATCGCTAAGCCAAAGAAAAGACCAGCAGTGAATACAACACGTTTTCGTGTCAAAAAGGTTTTCGGCTCTTCATGTTTCAAAAAGAATGTTTCATTGACGATTTGTTCCACGTCTTCAGGTGTTGCACTGTTTTTTCGTCGCGATTGGGAACTAAAAGAAGCTTGTTTTCCTATCCCTTGTCTTATTCCCTGTCTTATAGGTTGCTTTAACTTTGGCAAGGTTGGAGGGTGTGAGGTGGTGGGAGTCGGAGGATATTGACTAGTAACGGTCGCTTGAGTGGCGGTAGTTGTTGTTGAAGTGTCAGTTGCCTCTCCGGCATCCTCAGAATCGTCAGTCGTGGTTGGGTACGTGGCGGTTCTCCGGTTTCTACGTTTTTGCACCATAAATTCTGATAATGGAAGTTGGAACGCAAGAGATCCTGCTGATAATTTTAGAAATATTCATATGCCAAAGAAAAAATTCTCGTTTATATGTATAAAATTGAACGTTTGATAAGAAGCAGATTTTGCCTTTTTAACTATATGTGATCGACATTTGATATAGCATTAGATAAGAGATAAGTACATGCACAAATTAGTGCATGTGATCATTTATTTCAAATACTAAATAAAATACAAAATTATTTATTATCGATTATTTTCATTTCCTTCCTCTTCTTGTTCATTTCTTCCTTCGTCATTCAAAGCAGTGGCACCATCATTAGCGACTGCAGCAGCGGCAGCAACATTAGTATTAACATTAGCATGTTGTGCCATTAATTTAGCATTTGCAATCACTTGGAGTATATCGTCAAGCGATTGTCTCCATCCTACGAGTTTTTCGGATAGTTGTTGCCATTGAACTGTGGTGAATGTGCGATATGTTGATCTGTTGACGAGTATCGTTTTGGTGACTTGGTTTATTTTCGCTTCAATGAGATTTGCTCGAATGACTAAATATTATCATATTAATTGTTATGATTATTATAATTATTACAATAATTGAAGAGAATTCATAAAAGTTCATACCATCAATAGTCCACATTTCTACGTCGTCTTCATTAATCTCCAATGAATTTGCAATTGTGCTATACGAAACCTGACGAGACACGTGTTCCGAAGCCAAGGAAGCCAAAGTGAGTAACCTTATTTTTTGAATATTACCTTCATCCGATAATTCTAAGAAAATTTGGTAAATTAATGATTTTTCGGTATATGTGTAACACGTAAAAAAATATTTGATTAAGCTGATTGTCTACCATATTTTTCAATAATTTCAGGATTTTTCCCTATAAATTCTCGATATTCTTTTAACGTCCCATTCAGGAACACGCGCAGTAACTCGAATATTTTTTCTTCCGTTAATGTTTGTATGGCTTTCAATTCTAGTAAATCTTCAAAACGTAAAATTTCTGGTAACTTTATTGCTTGCACAACGGCACGTGTCGCTGCTTCTTTAGAACTGAGATCGGTAGAATCTTTAAAGGTTTTTAGATATTTCAATAAGAACTCGTAAGATTTTACACTACATAAAAACAATGAATAAATTAATGAATTGTACACATCGATTCATAATATTAATAAACGTACATTTCGCCAGCCTCTTTCAATCTTTCTGACACTATCAGGTACAATTCTCTGACTAGTTCTGTTGAAATAGCCCACTCGCGAACCCAGTTATCTAAATGTGATAATTGTGGCAATACAGCATCGATCTCGTCATTTTTTGCTGCTATTTCGAGTATTGCTAGAAATGTGTAATATCGAAGTGGTGAAGTGTTTTCCAAGGTGTTGTATAAATTCTGAAGACTTATTATAACGAAAATATCACTCTATTATTATCATGAACATTTCGAGAATCAAATTCCAAAATAATTCACGAAAGATTTACGCTTTTAATTTTAGAATTGCTTTTTCATTTTTGTCATCCACAAATTTCTGAATCGTCTTTCGTATCAAATCGTGATGTGTTTCAGGCGATGCGGATTTTAAGATTGCGATAAGAAGATTAAAAAGTGGTTCAAAATCTATAATTGTATATTAAATTCGAAAGCTGAAATATGAATGCATATTACTAAATCCGGTATATTTCAATTCATTAAGCAATAAATAAACACCTTTCTCCGGTGCATCCAATAGTATAATTGTCTCGTCGGCGAATTTTTTAAAAACTTGTTCATTTTTATTTTCTTTCAATAAATTTGTGGTTTCTGTTAGAAAAGGACTTGTTTCCTCGGGTTCTCCTTTGAGTTTCGAGACGTAGGTCGCAAACTCTGAAGCCTAGAAGAATGAATGATTAAGAGCCTTGAACGCGATATCTCTTTTTTTTAATAATTCTTATATCGTTATCAATTCTGACAGCATAAGTATTATTAACCAAGACTAAATAGCCAAGTAAACATACCTGCACCTCCAGCGAGTCTTCCGTAAAAACAGTATTTACGTATGTCATATTTTCTTCAAAAAAATGCGACCTTTGTTAAAAAAAAAGTCTGATCAACGATGAACGATCATCATTACATTTAATAGAATAGAGTCCAACTATAAATAAGATTCGTGTCGCGTCTCGTCTTTATTACATATAATTACCCATTTCGATAACTGACAGCGTCTAAATACAAAAAAACATGGCTCCTAAAAAGCGGATTGAAGAGTCGGAAGAGGAAACTTCAGACTCACAACCAGAATCATCTACAAGTTTTACCAGTAATAACTCGAATTCTAGTAATAAAAGGTTACGCTTGAATGACGAAGGAGAGTCAGTTGTTCCCCTCTTTACTGGGGAAATTGGCAGACAGCCAGAAGACGGGTAAAGTTTCATTGGTTGGTCTGTTTCTCATTGAGCTTTTGACGCGTTTACGCAAAAGCTCTTATTAGCTGCGCTTAGACTATAAAAGAACTTTCATGCTATAGTGCTTGTGTCCAGCATGCTTTTTTTATTCTTCCGAGTAATAAAATAATTTTCTATCAACCACAGATACCTGTATGGCTCTATTGTGCGTGTTCAACTCAAGAATTTTGTCACGTATGATTTTGTCGAATTTTTCCCTGGACCCAATTTGAATATGATTGTTGGGCCGAATGGAACTGGCAAAAGTACAATCGTGTGTGCAATTGCTCTTGGACTAGGTTGGAATACTTCGGTATAATTTACTTATTTTTATAGAAGTCTTTATTTTTTTTAATACTATTCTTTATTTGATTGATTGTTCTCGTTTGATTTATACAAAGCTCCTTGGACGTGCAAAAGAAATCTCTGATTTTATAAAGCATGGTGCGGTTATCGCAGAGATTGAAATTGAACTCAAGTGTCCGGATAAGAACGTTGTGATAAATCGCAAAATTAAAAAAGAAAAAAATAGTACTTCGTGGAAAATCGACGGTAATATATATTTTATGCTTCTAGACTTCTTGTGATTCAAATTTTTTGCTATAATATAATTTTGGTTATTGATATTATTAAGGGCAAAAAGCGACACACCGAGAAGTGAATAAAAGGATTACTGAATTAAATATTCAAGTTGATAATTTATGGTGAACTTAATATATGATCTTTACCTATCAAATAAGACTTCATTAAGCCCGTCAGTTTAATTTTTTTCACTTTCTTTTTTTAGTCAATTTTTGCCTCAAGATAAAGTAAACGAGTTTGCACAGGTTTGAAATATAATCTTACTAAATTTTTGATTTGATGACATGAAAGTTTGGTAAGGCGAAATATTTATTATATTCTTTGTAGTTATCACCTTCGGAATTACTTATACAAACGCAAAAAGCTGTAGGGGAAAAAAGCTTAATAGAATATCATCAGAAATTGATCAAATTGCGAGAAGAAGAAAAATCCCTTTTGATGGTAATTTTACATTTTTTTTTTGTTTGCTTTTTATTATTTAAATGCTTAATTTTTAATTGATTTCTTTTTACAGAGTGCAAAAGCTGATCGAGAACAAATGGAAAATCTTGAAAAGAGAAACTCTGTTCTAGAACGAGATGTGATGCGTTTT